CTGGCCCACTACGACAACGACGACCAGCCACTGCGTCGATGGCAATTATAACTACAGCCTGCTCAATTATGAGGAAGCTGATGTTGATGGCGTTGCTCCTAGAGATGGGAGGGGCATCGATGAAATGATTGGCAGTGTTCGGAGGAATGCAAGAGCTGTCACGGACATGCAGAATGAACATGTTCACAATGACGACGACGATAATGTTGCTGATGATGATGATGACGCTAATTTGGTCTGCAGAAGAGACCCCAGACTAGCCAGGAATCACAGCAAGAATAATATTAATAAAATGACAAGCAACAACATCGTCAGTGGCAGTAGTAGTAGTAGTTCTAATTATAATAATGATGGTGATGTTATTAGAACGGTGGTTTCAGTTGAACCTGACAAGGGCACAGAGGGTAGTAGTGGTGAGCCCCTTGCGACGTTTGAAACCACGCAACAGCAACAGCGCCTGCAACAAATACACCAACAACATCACACAAATCAAATGCTCCTACTTCAACATAATTTCCCAACAGAACCGCAACAACCGCAGACACAGGTTCAACAGAAACAACAACTTCAGCAGCCACAGATTTCACAAAAACAGCAGCAACTGCAGCAACTTCCTCAGCTACAGGTGCAACAGTCAAAAATGGATAGCGAAAACCGTGCAAAGAGAAAGTTAAGCGATGGTAACGTTGAAAAACTTGAAATGTCAGCAAGCGATGAAGGAAAAATTAACAGCGTAAGTAACAATGATAAAGATGTTGAGTCATCTGGAGCAAAAAGACTCATATTATCATCATCTGCAGCAGTATCATCAACTTCATCATCGTCGTCATCATCGTCATTGTTATTACTAAAGAAACCATTGTTATCATCTTCACCTTCCTCTTCATCACCTTCATTGAAAACATTTTCATCAACTTTATCATCAGGCCCGGCCCCATTATCACCGTCGTTTTTAGCTGTTCCATCGTCACAAATTTTCTCATCAGGGTCACCATTAAGACAGTCATCACCATCGAAACCCCCATTTTCATCATCTTCATCATCATCCTCATCATCATCACCATCATCATCATTAGCAGTAGTAACAATTTCTCTGTCATCTCACGCAACATCAGCAGCAACGACAACTTCATCATCATCCTCCTCATCATCATCATCCTTGTACTTTGATGAAAGCTACCATCAGTGTAGGGAGTGTAGCAAGTATAGGATGTCTATGGAGAGTTACCTGGACCACTTGCATAATGAAGACCATCTCAAGGTACCCACCTACCTACCCACCTACCTACCTACCTACCTACCTACCTACCTACCTACCCACCTGCCTACCTACCTACCTACCTACCTACCTACCTACCTACCTCCCTACCAATAGATGCGATGTTGTGTGTGTGTGTGTTTGTGTGAGTTTTGACATCATGCCATAATATTTGATTGGTTGGTGCTTCTGCAGTGAGGATGTTGACAATAAAAGCGGTCGTCATCGCTGATTGGGAATTAACCTGACGATGAAAAAAACGATGGAATAAGTGAATATATATAGATGAATGAATTAGTGAATGAATGAATGAACGAATGAATAAATGAACGAGTAAAAAATTAAATAAAACATTAAACAACAATAACAGAAAACTAAGAGAACAGTTGCTTACAAAATAATGGATAACTTTGACTTCACTACGATTCACAAATGCAAGGGAAGCACGACCAGAATTAAGGGTTGGTTGGTTGGTCGGTCGGTTGGTTGGTTTGTTGGTTGCCTGGTTGGCTGACTGGCTGGTTAATTGACGTATTGATCCATTGACAAGAGCAAATGATTCACAAACAACAACAGCAGCAGACACATACAGAGCATTCAATCAACCCTTACCCTAATGGCCTACTCAAACTGAATCACTTCAGGTTGTAGTCAGCTCTTGCCTGTAACAGCCGGCTACTATTGCCTACTATGCTCAACTGCTTACTGCAACAAAAGCGCACTGCTGTCTCACCTGATTACGAGAGATCACGAATTGAAATATAAGGAATTTGTTAGTCATCTCATTCTTCTTGCTGTTGTCTTTCTTGCCGTTTTATGTTCGTTGATAATGCCAAATTTACAATAACGTGCAGAGAGCAAAATGTGTTGAAGATAAACAGAAGAAAATTACCTTCACTACTTCCTCAGCTTCATCTACCGCTGCGTCAACAGCAGTAGTGGCGTCATCAACAGCAACAGAAGTTGTAGTAGCAGCTTCATCATCTTCATTGTCGTCAACGTCATCATCAATGGCAGCTGTATCGTCGGCAATAGCGACTTTAGCTGCCATAGCAGCTAAGATCAAATTACCGTCATCATCGTCTTCCTCTTTATCATTAACTTTCTCCTCAACTGCACCAACAGCAGCAGCAGCCATAGCAGCAGCAACTACAATGATGATGACGTCAACATCACTTTTTTCATCATTTCGGCAGCCAACTTCCATACTGAGGACATCAGCCATGACATCAGCCATGACATCACCGGCAAAGATCTCATCAACGGTTACATCATCGACAACAAGAACATCTGCAATAACTTCAACGCTAACTTCGGCTCCACAAAATCTGAGGTCTATCTTCATGATGTCGTCATCGTTTCCATCATCATTGGCAACGACGACAACAACAACAATGACGTCATCATCATCTTTTGTAGTAACTTCAGCAGTAGTCACGGTATCAGCAAACACATCAGCATCATTGCCATCTAAGTATGACGATGCAGATTGTAATAATTTTAGCAGTATCGATGATATGAACACCAGCTCTAGTGATAATTATCCAGTTAATAATGATTGTACTGGCAGTGATGGAGTTGCCAACAATAATCATGATGTTGGGCATGAAAATGGCAATAATAAGGATGGTGGTGATGAGAGGGCTAATGTTGGTGATGACGATGCTGATGATGCCGGTAAGTGCGATGTGGATGATGCTGAAGAAGATGATGATATCTTCATCATTGAAGCCGACAACGAGTTGATAGTCATTGACGATGATGATGATAAAGTTTCGGACAAGGTTACAAATGCTGACCGTATCATTGGTGGTGGCGGTTATAATGGAAATGACGAACTGGCTACGGTTACTGCAGCTCTCATTGCTGCTGCATCTACTAAAAGAGAATTAAGAAGCGTGCCACCAGAAAACATTGCACTAACAACAGTGGCATCAACAGAGGCTTCAAAGTCCTCAGCGGTTGTGTCGCCATCGTCTGCAGCTGCAGCAGCAAACGTAACTACTGCATCGACGTCAACTTTCAGCAATTTAGATGATAAAAATGTTATTAACATCATTCCAGAGAATGTAAGTAGTGAAACTAAGAATTTAGGCAAGAAGAGCGAAGGCGACCTAGACATGAAGCTCTTAACTGAAAGCATTTCAATCAAATTGAATCGTTTCACTAATCAGAGAGATGTGACTTTTCAACAAGTGTTCCCGCTATGTCTTAAAGATAATGCTACTACTCATTTTGATTTTACTACTACCGCTACTACTTTTGTTGTAGCTGCTACTCCTACAGCTTCTACTGCTACTACTACTCTGACTACTACTACTACTACTACTGCTACTTTTGTTTCTACGTCTGCTACAATTATTGCTACCACTGGTAAAACTGCGACTTCTACTGTTACTGACTCAGCATTTGCAGCTAGTAATGCAACTGCTTTGACTGCTCCTAATTTCGCAACTTTTGCTGCTGATTCTACTACTACTACTACTACTACGTCTACTGGTGCTAATAAAAAAATATTGGCTTTGGGATCGTCATCATTGGCCTCCATCTCAGTTGCTTTAACAACAACAGCAGCCATAGCAGCAATGAAACTGTTAACACCAGCAGAAATAACAGCTACTACTACTACTACTACAACAGCCACATCGAATCTAGCTCCTACAATATCAACATCAATGTCATTGAAGCCAGCAACATTAGTGACGACATCGATTTCATTGAATCCAACTGCAACAACTTCAATCTCGATGAAACCAACAACAACAACGACGAAAACTCTTTGCACATCATGTCCCATATTGATACTGACCAGAGTAGCAACATCGGCAACAATGACTGCTTCAACTACACTGGCTGCATGTGGCAGATCATCAGCTATACCACCATCATCATCAGTGGCAGCAGAAACAGCTCTGATAAAGCCTGAAAACATAAAAACTGAAATCTCCACTGATGAAACTACACCACCAACAACAGCAACGACATCCACAGTAGCACCAAGCAAAATATCAATAGTTGCAGCAACAACAACAGTTACAGCAGCAAAAATTAACTGCTTAAAACGGAAATAGTTGACTACAACAACCAAAACGACAGCATTAATTTGGACGACAGTAGCAATGAAAATAGTTGTAATATTAATTAATAAATAAATAAGGCTTACCTCAACGATGTTCATACTTTCTAAATTGTATTATGACAGTTTTTTTCGCTTTGTGAATAATTAGTAGTAATAAGAATAATGTAATTAGAAAAAATCCGTGAAATTTATTTTTGTTTATTCTTTTGGGTGCTCATTTTTTGTTTCAATCTTCGTTTGAGAAAAGGCAAAATGTTGATTGCAAGAGGGTTAATGATACGATAGACATTTCTTTCTGGTTTCTTTTTCACTTGAAGATCGAGTTTTTCTGTTTTATTTTAGTCGTTTTTGTTTCTTTATTATATATATATCTATACACACGAATTTTCAAATCAATCTTCAGAGACCCAGTTCCCCCGAGGTAGGACGTATACACAAATTTTATTTAATTTGATTTGTGTTCTCGAGTTGGAATAAGTTTTCATTCATAGTACATGCACACCTGTACGCATACATTCATCAACTAATGAACTATTTCGTTTTTCATGTATCGTCTTTTGTTTGAAATTTCGCTTTCTTTTTCAAGATTTTCCCTTTTTGTTTCATTTTTTTGGTTTCAGTTTCAACGTGAAAAGTAGAAGCCGGCTGCTATTGCCTACTATATAACGGAGATAACCTCGTGAAAAAATTTTAATTTGAAATTTAAAAAAAATGGCCACAACAAGAACAAACACGTAGAAAATAAAACATTAAATAATGATTATCGTTCTCTGTATATATATATAAGTATATATATATATATAAGTATATATATATATATATATATATAAGTGAAAGCAGACGTTCATCTTAATTGGCCTATCGATTAACCAAACTAATTTCGTGTATAAAATATCGATAATTAGAGAGTTAGACTTGTATTTGTTGTTTGTTGCCGCTTCGTTAATACAGATTGAACATTATCAATGTCACATACAGATGACCTGCAAGTAATTATAAATTACAGTATCAGTTTATTCTATTATTTAAAGAAATTGTTTAGCTTGATTTATAAAAATGAACACACACACACACCCACACAGAAAGATAGGAAAACTAACAATATCATCAATTTTTAGGATACTCCTTACAGTCTCTGCAGCCAGGTGTATGGCACTTGTAGAGACCAACAATGGCTGTACAACATTCTCCTCCAGGATATTTGTTATGGTGCCCTAGAAAAGGTTAGTAGACATGTGCAAGTGTGTATGTATACTTTCCAAGTAGACAAAGCAACAGCAATGCACCTTTAACAATCAGTAGATCGAATTCAACCAGCTAGCCAAACACAAAAATCCAACCAACAGACCTTTCTGACATTAATTCCAGCCATCTTTTCCCCTCTGGCGTGTCTGTTTCTCAACTCAGTGACCGTTCCAATGGGATTCAAACCCGCATTTTCCGCCAGGGTGAAGGGCACAACCTCGAGCGCCTCAGCAAAAGCCCTGAAGCAGTACTGCTCCATGCCAACAAGAGATTCAGAAAGCTCCATGAGACGAAGGGAAAGTTCAATTTCTGGGGCTCCTCCCCCTGCTATGATTGCCCTGATTTTGCATTTTTATCATTATTGTTATTGTTAACATCATCATCTTCGTCATCAACAACTTCATCCTCACCGCCATCATTCCCGTGCTAGTCAACATTAGTAACCACACTCATCCCATGCCATCTTAATTACTGACTTCTTCTTGACGAGACACCTGATAACACAGAGGGCGTCGTGGATGGATCTCTCAGCCTCCTCCAGCACCAACTTGTTGGAACCCCTCACGAGAATTGTAACCGTCTTGCCCGCATTCTGTATTCCACTCACCTGTCATTGTGAATATTCATAGTTGTTGTGGTTGTTGCGCTTGTTGTCAAGTTCTGAAACACTAAACAAACAAGTATCGCTAACCTTAACCAACTTGCTGTCTCCAGCCTGAACTTCTTCAACAAGTTCAGCTGCACCCAACATGTCAGGCTGAAAGTGATCCAGACTTGCTATCGGTCGACAGCCTATCGTCTGTCAGGTTATTTATTATAATTAATAATATATAAAATTCACGATATGGTAGTACTTTGTTGTAAAAACTTCTGCAGACGACGATGGGATTGTCATCAATAGACGAAAATTTTGTTGATTAATTTTATAGAAAGGACACATCTTTACAAAAAAAGCACGCAAAAATTGTGGGGCAATAAACTTTTGTACTTTATATATGAGAACAACTCTAAGAGAGTCTGTAATAAAGAAGTTTTACGACAAGTTTTATAATAATCAAGATAATAATTTTGATCATTAAAATAATTCTGCTAGTAACCTTGCAGACGAACTCAATGTCCTCTCTTTCAACATCCTTCACAACCATAATCTTCTGCTTGGCAAGGAAGTGAAGAGCAAGATCATTCACCGCATCTCTGCATGCATGCATGCATGTATGTACGTACGTTTGTATGAATGAATGTTTGTATTACTAGTAATATGAGTTTGTATGTAAGAATGCATGTGTGTTGTTACTCTTATGAGTTTGTATGTATGAATGTTTGTATTACTACCAACATGAGTTTGTATGTCTGTGTGAATGTGTGTATATTGAATGAAAATTATAATAAAAGGATTTCCAGTTTCAACTAAAGAAAAAAAATTCAAACAAGCAGGAAGGGACACACACAAAAACACATATCCACACACACACACAAATAAACCTAAGAATAGATTTTTGGATAAGTAAGACATTACATCCGGCCTTCTTAATGTTCTTCACAATATTCAATATATACTGCCTCTCCTCTCTAAGCACTCTATCCATCTGGGTGTAGTCTGATACTATCACCTGATTCTCCATCTGATTACAAATTGGGATTGGTTTATGCATACATCCATACAAACGAAACGAAATTTTAACAAACATACATACATACATACAAACAAACAAACATACAAACAAACAAACATACATACAAACAAACAAACATACGTACAACATGTATACTAATATACAAACATACATACATCAGTCTTAGGGGGTGATATACAGAATTGTATGAGGCCAATCTTTGCTTTCTCAACTTTACTGGGACCGCCTTGACCTGCAGCTCGCTGGTTGAAGACCAATCCATCAATCAATTCTGTGTCTTCAATGGTGCCACTATACATATGAATAAATGAATGAATGAAAGTTAATGAAAGAAAGATTGAATGAATGAATGAATAAACACAACCAACCCGAGTTTCTGGATGATCTTAATGTCACGAAGGTCAACATTGGTGTCCTTGACAGGGTCAATAACCTTAAGAACTGCATCAACACAGATCGGGGAGAGAGTATTTGAGTACTGAGACACAACCTGAACAGCGAGACGTGGTGAAATAAATAAAAGATTATTAATAATTATAATATAATACTTGTGTGATGATAAAAATAATATTGTTTATGATTGAAGATAATCATAATAGGTAAAATGCGAAAAAACTAGTCACATCATTTTTTTCCTTAATCTCTAACTGACCTTAGAGTTAAGAGAGGTGGTTGCACTCTTAAGAAGAGATTCCCTGTCAGACAACTGAACAGGCATCGACATATTTTCCAAAATGGAGCAAGCCTTAGCTGCAGCTGACTGAAAGCATTCAGAGATTGTGGTTGGATGAATTCCTGAAAAAGTTGTTAGAGGATTTAGTGAAATGGTTATTCATCATCTTTCTTGTCATTACATTTTCACTCACCTTTCTGAAGCAATCTTTGAGCAGCATCGAGCAGACTCCCAGCCACGACAACAACAGTTGTTGTACCGTCTCCTGCCTCAACATCTTGAGCTTTCGAGAGTTCTACAAGCTATAAATAAACAAGTGCACGAGTAAATGAATTATCATCATCTCCTTCATAATCATAAAAAATGATTACAAAGTGACTGACAGACCATTTTAGCAGCTGGGTGCAGAACTTGCATCTGCTTCAGTATAGTAGCTCCATCATTTGTTATAGTGACCTCACCTTTGCCTGTCTGAATCTGAAAAAATTATTGAAAAAATTTATAGATAATAAATAAACAAATGATAAAATAATGATAAATTATGTGAAAAAAATATAATTAATGTGTGTAAGTGAGAATAAAGATTGGCTGATGATACACTTGAACGCCAAGCTGAATATAAAAAAGTATTTGATTCCGAAAACCCACCATCTTATCCATGCCTCTGGGGCCCAAACTTGTCCTGATGGCATTTGCTACAGCTGAATAAATATTAATTTGTTTAATTAAATTTAAAAAATAAATAATTTAATTATTAATTTATTAGTTATTATAATCCATAATTTGTAAAAATTTAATTAAATACAATCATAAATATTATTTTTTGTTTCAGATCAATATGATTGTATTGTAGTTTAACTATGTGTATATTGTATGAATGACAAGACATAAAAAAGGCATAGAGACCGAATTTAATTTATAAATTACGGAATACGATTTTTTACCTTTGGCGGCAGTAATGTTACTGTAACGGATCTGAGTGGGTTTATCTTTATCTTTATATCCGGGTTTGTTAGTTTGTACTCCAGGCATCTTTAGTAGGATTTTTGTTCAAAAACGATCAAGCAAGCTCCGGTCGAAAATGGGAAAAAAGCTAGCAAAGAGCTAATATTGAGATATCATTATGTTTGACAGTTCTATGTTCTTAAATCAAAATATAAAATTGATTTAGTTTCATATTTTTTGATTTATAAAATTGATATAGTTTCATAGCAAATATTTATTTTTATCAATTGAAAATAATTTTTTCCATAAATAAATATTATCGAATTTTGTTAAATTTTGAAAATTAAAAGTTTTATTATACTACTCATAATGCAATAAATTCTCTCAATTTTACACTTTTTTTAATGATTTAAAAAAATTTTTTTTTCTCGAAAATAGTATATTTGTACCTTCATTTAATAAATTAATAAAATGATGATGTATGCATGATGTTATTTGATTGATCGAAAGCTCATTTGTTAAATTAAGCTGCTGATTGGAATGATTTGATTTTCTTCAAAGACTGTCAAAAAATTTTAACTGTTCATGAGAATTCGATCATTGTATTAAAAAAATAACAAAGTGTTACGATTCAACTCATTTAATTACGTTCACACAGGCGATCGCAGAGAATATCTGATGAATTAACAATATCTGATAAATGAAACAATCATATCAAACAATTTTCAAACAAGTTGAACAAATAATTAAACGATTTAAACAATTTTTTGTTAATCAATTTAAACAAATTTTGTCTTCAAGCGATACTTCCAAACAATACAAATAGCCAATGGAATGATAAATGAACGTTTCTTAATTAGCAGTGAGTGTTTAGCACTGTGTGGTGATTTAATCAAAGTGTTGAATTCAAAACTATGAATTATTGGATATAGGTTTCGGACTGAATGCTATAAATAACAAAATTAAATAAATCTGCTAATTAAGTTTCATTAAATATGCGCAAATTCATAACGAAATTATCGAGTGAAGCTTCACCAAATGTGCTAATCAAAGAAAAAACATTTCAAAATTCAACTTCTAGAAATATTAAAAAATTCAAGACCAATATTTTAAAGTTTGAAGTTCGAGGTTCCGAATTCTTAAGGTCAAAGTTTAAAGATCAAGGCTGGGCAGCAGGAGCAGGAGATTGTTTCGAAGGACTTTTCGTCCAGTCGGTGTGCACAGGTTCGTCAGGGTGGTCACTACGTTTGTATGTGTGAGCCCCAAAGTAATCCCTCTGTGCCTTGCAGGAATTCGGGGATAGAGGGATGAATGATGAATGAATGAAATGATAGTTAGATGGATGGAACGGATAAAGTCGCGAATGGATGAATGAGTGGATGAAACTTCTAGCAAATGAAATTATTTTCAAAATGCTTCGATAACAAATGATTCAACGAAATTAAGTGAACAAAACGGCATCAACAGAAATTCAAAACACAAAAGGCAAATTTTAAAGCCGTCGTGTCACCTGGATCAAGTTAGCCGGCAACCAGCTCGATCTGTAGCCGTCAAAAAAAGCGAGAGCTGTACTGAAAGCTGGAACTGGGATTCCCAACAATACGCTATACGAAATGACTCGGCGCCAGGACTCCTGAAATTGGAAAAAATATTTTTTCAATGTTACGCTAATTAATCAATTAGTCGATTAACCGACAGATCAATTAATCAATCAGTCAACCAATCAATCAATAAACCAATCATTCATTCATTCAGTCAATCAGTCATGTACCTGACAAGAATGGACAGCTTCTGTGAAGAATTCATTGAAAAGCAGGTTGACGAGATTTGGCTCCCTATCGAACGCTCTCTTTATGTCTCCAAGAAATTTGCTGTTGAAAATAAATATTAAAAAAACATGATAAATACACATAGACACAAATACGCCCAAAGATATCATGATAAAACATGATAAATACACATAGACACAAATACGCCCAATGATATCCAGGCAAAAACACAGTGAAAAAAGACCCATGCATTGACAAGGACATGCCTAAACACTCAAACACACGCCAGATCACACAAACACACACATATGCACACACACATACATCGATACATCCCTACAAACACCACCACCAAAACATCCGCGACTACCCACCTTCTAATAATGCAGCCCCCCTTCCAAATGGTCGCTATGCCACCCAAATTCAACTTCCATCCGAAGGCGCAGTTCGTGTTCCTCATCAACATGAAGCCTTGCGAATAGGAAATAATCTTCGACGCGTAGAGTGCCTTGTTATAGATTTGCGATTTATTAGTATTAATTATTATTTTAGTAGCAGCAGCAGTAGTAGCAGCAGCAGCAGTAGCGGAAGCAACAGTAGCAGTAGCAGTGTCGTAGTAGTAAAAGCAGTATAATCAATTGTAGCGATAGCAGTACTAAGTATCATCGTCAACTAAAACGACGACTACTGATACTACAATTCCTATTTTAAGCAGCAGCTACTGCTATTATCACTTCACAATTATTACGTCACAACTACGTCAGCACGACGTCACAACCTTGCGGATGTCCTCTACGAATTCCTCTTTGGAGCAGGTTGGATAGTTGGATGTCAGGTTATCCGGGCCCTTCAAACACTTCGAAGCGAGCATCCTCTCTTCCTTCAATTCAGACAAACACCTCGCGAATACGGCTTCGCCTATTATTATTTGTTATTATTATTATTTAATATTATTATCATTATTATTTCTCATTATTATTATTTATAATTATTTATTAATATAACTATTACAACCAGTAGTTATTAAAAAAAAGTGAAAATGAAACCGACTGACCAACAAGAGTTAGGGGAATTCCGTATTCTAATGATGAGAGTGTTGTCCATTTTCCGGTTCCTTTCTGACGAATGTTTATGATAATGATTACCATAAATACTATCATCATCATCAAGATAATTACCATAATTACTATAATCATCATCATCACAATCATAATCATCATCATCATCATCATCCTCATTAACAACCTGTCCGGCTTTATCGACTATCTTATCAAGAAGTGACTGGTCGTCTTCGTCGTGAAATTTCAAAATTTCGGCCGTTATTTCGACCAAGTAGGACTCCAGTTCCGTCCTATTCCATTGTTCAAATATCTAAGATGTTTTTGTTCGTTCGTTCGTTTGTTTGTTCGTTCATTTGTTTGTTCATCTACGGTTTTGTTATAACCACCATCATCCTCATTATCATCGCCGTCAACATCATCGTAATTATTATAATTATTATTATTCATTATTATAATTATTATTTATTATTATTATTTATTATTATTATTTATTATTTATTATTATTATCATTATTAACCTCGCCAATGGCGTCGTTGTTGAGTTTGAGGACCTGCTTCATGATGTGGTAGGCCTCGCTGATCAGCTGCATGTCGCCGTACTCGATGCCGTTGTGGACCATCTTCACGAAATGTCCGGCCCCTTCCGGCCCCACCTTATTTTGTGTTTTTGGTAGTGTTTGTGTAACGGACACACAAACAAACGAACGAACGAACGAACAAATGTACTAACAAAAAGCAAACAAACGAGAAAAAAAAACCAACCCATTCACAACACGGAGCGCCGTCTGCCTGTGCTGAAATGGACTGAAAAATATTTTTGATCAGGGGCCAGGCCTCGATGTTGCCCCCTGGCATGAGGGAGGGCCCATGGCGAGCCCCCTTCTCACCCCCACTCACTCCACTACCGACGTATAGCAACTGCTTGGCTTTCAGCTTTTTTTCTCTTCTCTGTATAGACGAATTTTAGGTTCATTATTTGTTTAAAGTAGGTCAATTCACTTATATTTTAATAATTTTAATAACATATTGTGATAATAATTATAACGTAATATAATAATTATTCTTATTATGAATATTTAAATGAAATGTTTTATAGAAAAAATTTCCACGTAGAAACCGTGGAGTCGATGTATTCCGAGTTGCCACCATCAATTATGACGTCACCGGGCTCCAGTAGCGATACCTTTCATAGATTGGTTGGTTGGTTTGTTTGGGTGATTGATTGGTTGGTTGGTTTGTTTGGGTGATTGATTGGTTGGTTGGTTTGTTTGGGTGATTGATTGGTTGGTTGGTTTGTTTGGGTGATTGATTGGTTGGTTGGTTTGTTTGGGTGATTGATTGGTTGGTTGGTTTGTTTGGGTGATTGATTGGTTGGTTGGTTTGTTTGGGTGATTGATTGGTTGGTTGAGTAATTCAATGACTGATTGTACAGTTGATTCATGTTTGATACTCCATTATAAACGATTAATTAGCAAGCTTACAAACAATAAATAAACCCTCCAACAAACCGACCAACCAACCAACCAACCAACCAACCAACCAACCAACCAGCCAGCCAGCCAGCCAGCCAGCCAACCATCCAGCCAGCCAACCAGCCAGCCAACCAGTCAACCAATCAACTAACTAACCAATTTCGACAATACTTCATCAACAGCTGTCCCAGCTTTAACTAACAGCATCACAATTCTGGGAACTTTTAGGCTATCGACCAAATTTTTTAGGGTGTATGCCACCATGAAATCTTTTCCCTTGCCCTCTGCGTTCAAAAACTCTTTCGTCTTATCCGAAGTTCGGTTGTAGATACAAGTCTGTGCGTGTGTGTTTGAGTGTGTGTGTGTCTGTGTGTGTGTCTGTGTGTGTGTCTATGTGTGTGTGAGTGTATCCGTGTGTGCGTGTTTAAAAGATTTTTATTATAAAGATAATTCATGTATGAGAAAATTTGTTTAGTGCACGTCTTCTTGTTTGCCTGCTTTGTAGGCTAGAAATGAGAAAGGGAGAAAGAGAGAAAAGGAGAAAATAAAGAGAGAGAGAGATAGAGAGAGAGAGAGAGAGAGAGAGAAAAGAGAGAGTAGTGAAAAGCCTAACTGATTCCAACAATACTTAAAAATGTGACCTTCAAATTGTGGTGGCATTCTTGAAAGTGCAACTTTAAACACAATATATATGACAGCAACATTAATACAAAAACACACACAAACACACACATACACATACAGACACACACACACATACAGACACACACACACATACTTACGACGAAACCATGTTCTAGAATATTCAAGGCGAGGTTCTGTCCCATGACTGCAAGACCAACGATCCCAATATCCGCTCTATTCCATCATCACATACAAAGTTATATCATTAGTACACTATTAGACAGAAATTCTTCACATATTAACAATTGTCATTAGTATAACTAAATTATATTAAAACAGTTATTATTATTATTATTAATTAATTAATTAATCAAATATAACAGCTAGTACTACCTCCTGCCTTCTGCCATATTAAACTTGACCGGCCAAAACAATTTCAACAAGTTTTTAAAAAAATTTATTTTCCTTTTGGAAAGAGCGCCAAAAACTTCTGAACCGGAAAAGGAAATGGATAGATTTTGCAATAATTATCTAAGTAGGAATGGGCGGATATACAGATAAATAAACAAACTAAATTAATGAATTTTATTGTAATATATTAACTCGTGTTGTCTAACGCATTTTCAACATACAGACACTCAAAAACACACATACAAATATGTACAGACACGTGCATACATGCACACACACACACACACACACACACACACACACACATACATACATTATGAATTTATTTATACATATGTCCAAAACACATGTGTATTTAACACTAAAAGTTAATCACATTTTTGCTTGCGCGGTCTGACGTACATCAAGCCTCGTCTATACACCGTCTTTTGATAAATTGAAAATTTTTTTTAATAATTAATTTAAAATATTACTAAGAAATGAATTTATTCTATAAAAATGTTTAATAATAATGATGAGTTTAATAAATAAATGAAATTGATCTAAAAATGAAGAAAAATTAAAAAAAGTTTGAATTGCTTTCAAGTTGGCGAAAGTAGTTAAGATGGGTAAAAAATTGTTTAAGGAAATTTAAAAGTAAGATATCAACCAATCACAATTAATTTAAAAACATACCGACCAATGACATTTTATCTAACAAATTTCAATCGATAATAATTCACATAATAAAAACTAATTTAGCCAATAGGCGTAGCTCATTAACTCATCTCAGGCAATCAAATCACGGGATTCCAGTATGCGAGCGTTCATTGGCTGAGAGATGACGGCAATGGTGGGGGCAGGAAGTAATGTTTGTGATGTAATTGGTCGATTGACAGGAGAGAGGGGTGGCCAAATTTGAAACGCAAATGAACGCTGAATCGTGATTGGTTGAGCCGTCTGGCGAGATGTAATTTAATTGGTTGTTTAGATCGTAAAAAATGTTACTGCTGTCGTTGTTGTTGTTGTTGTTGTTGTCATGAGGTCTTGATAATGATGACGATTGATTGCTGAAGTTTAGTACGGATGAATTTTGTTTGTTTAGGCACCTGAATTGGATGGATTGATTGGATGATGAATGAAAAATGAATGAATGAATGAACGAAAAAATAAATAAACAAATACACGGACAAGTTTCTACTTTTACCGACATCGTCATAAACATCAATTGACGAAAAACAAAGAACAAAAAATTCTAACATTTTCCTCCCTAGAAAGATAAACACCAAAGATAAGCAAGCCACCAGCACGCCAATCAGCAAGCCCAGACCTAGAGCCCCCAGCAAACCTTTCAAAATCACGTGACGATTTAATTTTTGGCTTCCGCCATTTTCAAATTCTATGACGTCATCGCCGTTTTCACTGATGATGACGTCGTTTTTGTTGTTGTTGTTGTTTTGTTTGACCGCTGTTTTTTGATTGGCTGATTGGGTGTTTGAATTGAAAAGATTGTCGTCATAAAAATCGTCATCACCATCTTCAACAACAACATCAACAACAAAAGCAACATCGACAACAACAGCAACATCATCAACAACAACAACATCATCAACACCACCATCAACAACATCAACAACATCATCAACAACAACACCACCATCAACAACAGCAACAACAAGACCTCACCTTCTGAAGGGCAACCTCCTAACTCACCAATCCACCTATCGCCCCGACAACTAACGTACCAGGCTCCCTGAGTGGCTTCACATTTCACCATGACGTCATCGCCATCTTCCCCGTAGAGATATCTCTCTCTGGAGGAAACCATTTCTTTTCTCCCACTTTCGCTTTCCATTTCGTTGCGTTGGAAATTACCAGAGGTGCTCGTATTAATTGAGGTATTATTTAGTTTCGTTTTCGACTCGGAGAGTTTCAATTTCGACTCGGAAAGTTTCGGTTTCGATCCGGATGTTACGTATTCGACTGAATGGCCAGTCGAGATTGAAACACGTGGACAGTCTAGAACTGATAATGAAAATGACAATAATAAATTAACGATCATTTTATTTCAACGGTAGAATAAAATCAAATTAAAACGTTAAACAATCCAATTCTGAACTCATGCCTCTATATGCGATCAGGTATTCCGAATTCATTTGCTGACGAGTTTCTTGGTTATTATTATTTTTATTAACATTATTATCATTGTTACTATTTGCAGAGGCATTATTTTTGCTCTTGTAAAAGAAGTTATTGAAGGGGTAATTATTATTAATATCATTATTACTAGATTTACTATCACTTACCCTATTGCTATTATTATTATTATTGTTATTATTGTTGTTGTTATTATTATTGTTATCGTTGTTGTTGTAATATTCGAACGTGATGACGACCTTATTGTAGCGAGTTAGGTACAGTTCTACCTCTCTCTCGCGTTTCATCTTGCACGTCTCAAATTCAACCTTATTATTATTATCATTATTGATGTCATTCTTATTGTTGTTGTTGTTGTTGTTTTTGTTGTTGTTGTTGTTGTTGTTGTTGTTGTTACTGTCTGTTGTTGATGTAGTTGTCGACTCGATATCTTCAAGGATTACGGTGGGACAACTATCAATTCAAACATTCTCATTGTTATTTGCTTCGTCTTAATAATAATAATAATAATAATAATAATAACAATTAAAACAACAATAACAACAACAACAACGACAATTTTTGACAGAAATGAGGTTAAAACGTAAGCCCGAACTTGAACTAACCTCTCGCTGTGCGTATGATCATGGTGGTTCAAATACCCGACATGTGACGACAACGACGAAGATGTTGTGATTAAATAGAGTTGGATTCTTTGTCCGGGTTCGGCGGTATATTCGTAATAATCGCATCTCGATATTTTATTATTATTATTATTGTTGTTGTTGTTGTTGTTGTTGTTGTTGTTGTTGTTGTTGTTGTTGTTGTTGTTGTTGTTGTTTGGACAAGAGTTTCTCTGCAGTACTGAAAATCGTTTCGTAAATAATATTGCTACAATGGAAATAATATTACTCAAATACATACATACATACATACATACATACATACATACATACATACATACATACATACATACATACATACATACATACATACATACATACATACATACATACATACATAAATACAAACAAACATACAAGCAAACAAACATACATACAAAAGATACAAAAATGAAAAGTTAGGAACATATATATACAGCCGAATGCCATGCCAGAAAGTAGTTTAACACTGATGGAAAGGATTGTATGATTAGAAGAATGGTCAGACGGACGGAAACTCATTTATTCATTCATCCATTCATTCATCCATCCATTCATCCATTTATTCATCCATCCATTCATTCATCCATTTATTTATTCATTTATTCATTCATTCGTTCATTAATATATTCATCAATTTATCCATACATTTGTTTATCACTTTAATCAATAATTCGTTCAATTATTCCTTTGTTTGTTCGTTCACTCATTCACCCACCCACTCCACTCACTCTCATTCATTAATTCATTAATTCATTTATTCATTCATTCATCCACAAATCTGTCAATCCATCCATGCATCTATCAGAGGAAAGGTTTGGGTGAATATGACATAGTAAACACGCACATGCATACTTGCAGTAATTCGCTTCGTTTGTTGAGCATGATGATGATGACGACGACGATGATGATGGTGATGTTGATAATGATGTTGATAATGATGATGATGATGTTGATAATGATGATGATGATGATGTACTATTCATGATGAAGGTTTCATCATTCCCTTACAAGCTCTAAATTAATCACAACAACACAATCATCATCACCATCATCATCATCATTACTATCATCATCATCATCAATATCATCATTATCATCATCACCATCATCATCATCATCACTATCATCATCACCGTTTCGACATTGGTAGTCAGCTTGCAGGAAGGATGCATAGTCCTTGTTACATGGCGTCACATCCACCAACTCTCTCACACTCACCTTGAAAGTTGTTGTTCGGATTCGGATTATAATCTTAATTCAGTCAACCAACCAACCAACCAACCAATCAATCAACAAATTAATCAATCAGTCAACCAATCAGTCAGTCAAATTCTGTAAAACCCGATAAAATTCTTTAAAATTCACTTTGTAAAACGCTATATAACTGTAAAACCCTGTAAAACCCTTGAAATATAGAATAAGGGTTCGGAATCGGGTTTCATAGAGTTTTGTGGAAGTTAACAGTGTTTTAAAGACTTCTACAAGTTTTGGAGAACAAGTTTACAGAGTAGCCAACCACCAAGCAGCCAACCACAAAGCAGCCAACCACCAAGCAGCCAACCACAAAGCAGCCAACCAACCCAACCTTACAGCTTCTCCTACCGGTACAGAACTGATCGAAGACGGCCAAAACGTCATTGGCACAACCGATCTCCAGCTGGCTATCAACACAACGACCGCTTCGCATTCTTCCGTACAATGCTTTCGTCATTATGACAACATTGTTGTTGTTGTTGATGTTGTTGTTGTTGATGTTGTTGTTGATGTTGTGGTTGCTGGAGTTTGTAGTAGTGATGATGCTGTTGCTATTGGTGGTGGTGTTGTTGTTTATATGTTTGTTGTTGTTGTTGTTGTTGTTAAAGTTGTTTGAGCAATCTGCGACGAAATGCTCTGTTAGACAATAATCTTGAGATTTTATTTGGTACTGATGATGTTGATGTTGTAGTTGTTGCTGATGTGGCTGTGGACGTTGTGGTTGCTGCTGATGTGGCTGTGGATGTTGTGGTTGCTGCTGATGTGGCTGTGGACGTTGTGGTTGCTGCTGAAGTGGCTGTGGACGTTGTGGTTGCTGCTGACGACGATGACGCTGTTGAAAGTTTGACAAATGAGTGGCATGGTGTTTTTCATCGCCGTGAATTATTTTCTCCATATTACCTGGTCACACGTAAGGATGATGACGACCGTGATGACGTCGTTGTTGGTGATGATAACGATGATGATGACGATGACGATGATGATGACGATGATGATGATGATGATGATGATGATGATGATGATGATGAATACCCTGGACAGTAATTACGATGTGGACGGTGAGGATTGATGATGATGTTTCTAATTAAAATTGAGGCCATTATTAATGATGATGACGACGACGATGACGACGCTGATGATTATGATGACGAAGTTTGTAATTAGCCAATCAGTTAATCAATTAATCAATCAGCCAATCATCAATCAGCCACAATCAACCAGCCAGCCAATCAGATAGCGAGCCAACAACAACGGCAAGAAGGGCACTTAACAACTTTAACACGTCAAGCTAATAGACAAATTATGACATCGCTAGTGACGTAACGCACCACGTGACCTCCACTCAGTGCAAACACACACACACACACGCACAAACACACACACACACGCACACACGTATACACATTCGTGATGAAAACAATTACAAAGCTCTAGTTTCTATTATAATTACAAGACCGTATAATCATCGTTAATAATAATAATTATGATGATGATGACGATTACGATCATCATCATCACCGCCACCATCTTCAACATCGTCATCATCATCATCACCATCTGCAACATCATCATCATCATCACCATCTGCAAGACATACATTCAGAGAGTTGCTTTTATAGTTCTGGCAATGATAAGGTACATGTGACGTTCGTTCGTGTAATGAAGTACATTGTAGTAGTAGTTGTGGTAGTTGTGGTAGTAGTAGTAGTAGTTGTGGTAGTTGTGGTAGTAGTAGTAGTAGTTCTGGTAGTTGTGGTAGTAGTAGTAGTAGTTGTGGTAATAGTAGTAGTAGTTGTTGTAGTAGTAGTTGTAGTAGTAGTAGTAGTGGTAGTATTGGCAATCGTAAAAGTGGTAACTTCGAATATTTCAACGACTAATTTTACATGATCTACACTACAGCATTGATGATGCTACCGATGAACACACATACACACATACACACATACACACGTACACACGTACATACATACACACAAATACAAACATACATACATACATACATAAACATACTTACAAACATACAAACAAACAAACATAACAAAAGAAAGTAATTCAATAAAAACCAACCCTGCTCAATCAGCGTAGTGGTGGTGATGATGATGATGACGGTGACGACGGAAGTCTTGATAATGATGCTCCAGTCCATAATTAATTAAGATTTATTTTTAATTATTTTCTCAGTCATCGTAAATCCTAAAAAAAACATTTTAATACGTAATTTTTTCTGGTTTTTATCGTTGTTGCTGCTGTTGTTGTTGTTGTTGATGATGATGATGATGATCACGTTGATGACGTCACTGATGACGATGATGGCGGTACTGTATGGTTTTCAATTAAAGCTTTCTTCAAACACACTGAAACACTCGAAGACACTGAGGAATTTTAATAGGAGGAGTGTTGTCACTTTTGAAATTTTAAAAACTCAATAGGAGAAATAAATAAATAAATAAATAAATAAATATATATATATATATATATATATATATATATATATGTTACATTAACAACAAAACATCAACAAAAACATCAACAACATCAACAACATCAACAACAACAACAACATCAACAACAACAACATCAACAACAACACAAACCAAACCATTCTTCCTAAGATGCTCCGAACACCTCAAACGTTCCTAATATACAATTCAAGTGTATAACACTCCCATATATACAAACAAACAAACACATACATACATACATACATACATACATACATACATACATACATACATACATACATACATACATACATACATACATACATACATGCATGCATGCATACATACATACATACATACATACATACATACATACATACATACATACACTCATTATTTCTTTTATTATTTATTTTTCCATTTAATTAGGTAAATGATTTATGTGTGAAATTAATCAATATTATATCTCTTTCACATCAGATCTTAATAAGTAGTAGTGGTAGAAGCAGTAACAGCAGCAGCAGCAGCAGTAGTAGCAGTAGTAGTAGTAGCAGCAGTGGTAGTAGTAGTTGTGGTCGTTATCATTATAAGGATAGATTAGCATTGCATCTCAGTGTATTAACGAGGTGACAAGAAATTTAAATGCTTTCTACATTTGTTTGTCTTTGTTGTCGTTGATGATGATGATGATGACGACGATGATGATGATGATGGTGAGGTGATGATGATGATGATGATTATGATGGTGATGACGATGGTTTTCTTATTAATGATATCCAACCATCAAAATGTAGACACGGCACTTTTCAGCAATAACTCGATCAATTTTTTTACAGTTATTATGATTATTATTACTATAATAATAATAATAATAATTATTATTATTATTATTATTATTATTGATGAGGCCTTTCGTTAACAGAAGTTGTCAAATTGTGGCATTAAGTTGTCATACGACCATGAATGAATGAATGAATGAGTGAATGAGTAAATGAATGAATAAAAGAATGAATAATAAGTGAATGAATGAATGAGAAATGAATGAGTGAATGAATTGGATATAAATTAAATTAATTAATTAATTAATACATGTAAAACAAAAAATGACACCGACGATGATGATGAGGATGATGAAGAAGTGGAGGAAGAGGAAGATGAAAATGATGATGAAGAAGAAGAAGAGGAAAATGATGATGACGATGAAAAAGATGACGATGATGACGAAGACGTTGGTGGTGATGATGACGATGACCAAATGTAAATATGTTTCTATGTCATGGGTTGTGTTGTATATGCAATAATTTTTATTCAGGACATTCTAATCTGTATATTTTTTCTTCTTTGTATCTTTGTGTGTTCGTTTGTATGTGTGTGTGTGTGTGTGTGTGTGTGTGTGTGTATATATGATGTATGTTTCTTCACATACATACGTACATACATACAATGAAACAAACACATTTTCATACAAACAAACATACATACATACAAACATACCTACGAACATACATACATACAATGAAACAAACAAACACATTTTTATACAAACATACATACATACATACATACCTACAAACAAACATACATACAGACATACGTCTAATTTATTTATCACTGTACAGATTAATGTAACAGATATGCATAAGACGATCTACCGTTTGCGAAATTGTGTTTGTATGTTTGTGTTTGTATGTATGTGTTTGTATGTGTGTGTTTGTATGTGTGTGTTTGTATGTGTGTACGTGTGGATGGATGTTTGGATGTTTGTTTGTTTGTGTGTTTGTTAATTTTTTTTTATTTCTGAAAAGACACAGTGGCAACATTAGCCGCAGTAGTAGCTGTTGTTGTTGTAACCAGCCGCTGTAGTAGTAGTAGTAGCAGCAGCAGCAGTAGCAGTAGTAGTAGGTAGTAGTAGTAGTAGTAGTAGTAGTAGTAGTAGTAGTAGTAGTAGAAGCAGAAGCAATATTACTTTTTTTGAGATAACAAAATTAATTTACAGAATTTATATGATATTGAATCTTTGAAAGAGGAAGATGAGAGTTGATGATGACGATGGTGATTATGATGATGATACTGTACTGTACTGATCATCAGATCATCATCATCATCGTCGTCGCGTTGTCATCATCATCAACAACAACAACAACATTTGCAACAACAAATCATTCTTACAAACATCTTTTTGTCTGTATACTATCTACGCAAATTGTTGAAACCACACACACATACAAACATACCCGCACATGAACAATAAAATATGTACACACACACACACACACACACACAAACACACAGACAAACACACACACACACAAACACACACACACACAAACACACAAACACAAACTGAAACATGCAAAGGAAACCATACGTCCAATTAGGCATTTCTTCATATCCGCCATCTTGTTATTGACCGGATGCTGAACAAACAAAGAAAAGACACTGAATAAAAAAAGAACGCAAATAATTGTTATTTTTTCCTTGGCTGTTTTTTTTATTGTCGGCCATATTGCTTTTTATTCTAATTTTTTTATTACTTTAAATTATTTTTAATTAACTTTCCGTGGTATCAGTATAAATAATGACTGTAGTACAGCGCTTGTTGTAGTAGTAGCAGTAGTAGTAGTAGCAGTAGTAGTAGTAGTAGAAGTAGCAGCAGCAGTAGTAGTAGTGGTAGTAGTAGTTTTACTTTTATTAGTATTACGAAACATTCCTACAAGCAGTGATTCTTGCGCCAGATAAGAACTTCGATGGTTATTTAGTAATTAATAAATCAATGGCTACACATACACACGCACGCACGCAAGCACACACACATACAAACAAACACACATACAAACACACACACACATACAAACACACAGACATGCATTCGTAATTTGACGCGGTCATCTTATTCTGCAAGGAGTGATCGATTTGTGAGTTAAGATGTTGCTGCTGATGATGATGATGATGATGACGAAACTGACCTGAAATGATACTGATGATGATGATAATGATGGCGACGATGATGATGATGACGATGATGATGACGATGATGATGATGATGATGATGATGACGATGACAATTAAATGAAGCCAAATTTTGTTAAACAACACTAAACTATACGAAAGACAACATTGAAAAGACGTTACTAAATAGCATCAATGTCTAATTAAGCTCCAGTTAACATTGATATGAAATCATCCTTATCAGCGTCATTTTCTTCTTCAACGTCATCATCATCAGCACCACTGAAATCATCGCAATCATCACCGCGATCACTCAAAACTTCAAAAATTCTTCGCCGGGCGTTCGTCGGACTGGCGAATGTAAACAAATTTTTGTTTCATATCGGAACATTTTTTTGAGTCAATCATTCTTTTTTTGTCATTCATTCTTTCGTTTATTCATTCAATCTTTCGTTCATTTATTCACTCATTCATTCATTCGTTCCTTCATTCATTTATTCGTTCATTCATTCATTCATATAACTTTTGTCGGGCCTTTTGTCATTCATCGTCATCGTTGTTGTTTGCAGGATTATTCTTATTTTTCTTATCATCGTCATCGTAATCTTTATCATTATTATTATCCTTATTATCATTAGTATCATTATCATCATTATTATCCTTATTATCATTAGTATCATTATCATCATTATTATCCTTATTATCATTAGTATCATTATCATCATTATTATCCTTATTATCATTAGTATCATTATCATCATTATTATCCTTATTATCATTAGTATCATTATC